TCCATTTTTCTTCTGCGAATTGCAACAAGATGCGGGGCTAATGCGTCGGCGTTTCGCACGCGTTCGTGCCCCCGCGGTCAGTGCATGAAGCAGACGACCGCCGTGGAACACTCCTACGCGTTCGCGCACTCATTGTGCTCATCTATTCTACCACGTCTAAGCCAGTGTTTCCAAACCAACCCGCAGAAACAGGCAGAAGACCACAAAATAACGCTGGTCAACAAAGCAACGCCGCTCGCGCGCTCGGGGGTTGAACTTGTTTGGGCACGTCATCTGCATGTCACCTCTTGGTCGGATGCCAAAGAGGGTGGGGAAGAGATTTGGCTTGCGAAGGCTACGCAGAGGAGTGGCAAGGGTTTCGAGCTCGCCTCCTCTCATCCTCTCTCGCGCCGCTTCAAAAAACCTGTTTTCTCCGCTCGTGATGAACCGATTAAAAAAATATTTGTGGCGAAATCTTCCTCATCAGACACCCAACAACTTCTACTGTCTAACTAAAATTTGGTACAGGGCCTGGTGAGTGGCCCTTTAAAGTCAAATTTCTCGTGGCACACCAATTGACATCGACACTAACTTGACCTCAGGCTACAGTACTAATCCTGGTGACTTCACACAACTATCTGGCATGTTGCGATGACGTCAAGCACCAAAACACAAAAAAGGCACTTGTGCGTCACCTCAATTGACTGCTTGTGCAGTGTCGTTATGTGGTCACTATCATTAGCGTACCTGTGAACCAAGCTAGCGGAGTCTGGAATAATGTACATGCACGCGAATACAATATACAGACTTCTCAGAGAGCAAAGGAATCGTTTGATTTCGAAGTAGTCAACACGACGTCAATACTCAGCCCTGTGCATTGTCTTGCTCCAGTTTAACAGGGGACAATAGGTGCAAATTTCATCGATTCCAGTCAGATATATGCGCTGAGACAAGCATGGGTCAACTTCATGCACCACAGCCGAGGTGAAGACCGGACACCAACCAAGCGGAGCTTACTCTGCTCGCTGCAATTCACTCCAGACGCGTACACGCACAACATGCATTAGCTGACCAGCTTTGGGTTGTCAACAAAAAACCTGCGCCTTAAAAATGATGCTATCCCAACATTGTGCGTCCCTGCCGCAACAGTTGCCAGACGTGCGGCACGCAGCAGACGAAGCAGACGATCAAAAAAGCGATGCGTGGACGAGGATACTTTATAAAAACTTGTGCCTGCACATATTGTCACCTGTTGGCACTGCTCATACCATGTCGTGGCACCAGGGTACAGTAAGAACCGAACCTAGCTTTTGAAGGCATGCTGTAATTAATATTTCAGAGTGCACTCAAGCTTACTGGTATGTTTCGTATACTATTGCAGGTTTGGGCTATCATTTGACGCAAAAAAACTAGTAAAAAATTTCGTGTCACTACAATGGATTATGCCTGAGCCAATTGGTCGCACTTTCGATGTTTTGTCAAGCAGCAGAAAAAAGCGCAAAAGGCCTCCCATCCGCCATCCTGACCACACAAGCACACCAACAGCAAGCGAGATATGCAGGCGCGACATAAGCCAGGACGCAAAAACTGCTCTGGCGCCAGTTTCTAGCCAGAAAAAGAACCTTCTTCAATCGAACCAGTGTGGCTAGCGTCACGAAGCGGTGGGGACGGGTGAAGGATTAGTTATAAAGAGATGATGGCAGACATGCGAGAGAATGTCGAAGAAGTTGCGATGGAGTGAAAAAAAAAAAGAGGCCTAATAAGGTGGGAAGGCGACCTTGAAAACTAAAACACGTGGGAAGAAGGCAGGTCAGGTAGCTTGCTTGCAAGGTCCACGAAATGAACAACTCACACGTAGGAAAACTTGGGAAAGTGGCCTGCATGCACAGAGATCACAGAATTGTATTGTGACGCTGTAGGGAACGCGCGGCCCTATCGACATCATTATTTAGAATTCGTTCTGTGCAGCAGCTGTTTTTAAGCTTTTGTACGCATGCGGAGGGCATGCTGAGCTGAGTTCAAAGGGAGCGAGAACAGGTCCCAAACACGTAATGAATTCTGCGATATTGAATTTAATAGGGTAGTACAATCATGTGTACTGGAACGATATTACACCGATCCAGAGAATACACAGACGCAGACGATTGGGTACAGTTGGCAGCCAACGATGTTGGCAGATAGTCTGTTCATTCTAGCCAATCTTTCAAAAATCGGTGGCAGTGTAAGAACACTGGCCTTGTATGGCAGTTCGAGATGCTCAGAGTAGCAGGGGCACAAAGGACAGAGGGGTGCATAACAAAAGACCGTCCGGGAGAGCAACAAGTAGAGGGCCGCCGAGGCAGGGTCGGTGATTAACAATAAGAGTCTATGGGCACTTCACTGATGGCTTATCGGAGATCGAAAGTGGCGTCCCGGGAAGTCGCCAGAGCACTGACTCCGTTCACTGTAACCGACTGGCAGCACTCGAAGATATTTGTTGTAAGTACGATTTTGTGCCACTGAAATGATGCATATTTCCACAATCGCAAGAGTATCGTTCGGTTCAAGCGAAATTTGTATCAAGTGGGGCTGTTAATTGTGAGCTCGACTCTATAACACACCGCAAATGCATAGTTAGAAGCTATCTACACTCAAACCTCATGAAGACAAAGTTGCATCTTACATAAAAAATGACAGCGACGCTGATGCTCACGTCGACACTGGTGGCAAAATCGAGCCGTGAAAGTCCATATTATTGCTATTGCAATAATAAAGTTCGTTATATAGAGAAATTCGTTATAAAGGTTTATTCCTGACACAATATCTATTGCAAAGCTATTTTTACTTACTTAATTATAACCGATTTTTCATTGTATCGGGTTTGTTAAATCAAAGTTTTGGGTGTACTAAAAAACAGAAAGAAAAAGCAGGTACTTAATTTAGCAGATGTTAACTTTACCACTGCTGGTGGTCAAGTTTATCTTCGTTAGAACGCCATTGAGAGGCAGATGAAGTAGTTTGCAGACACGGCAACAGGTAAACTGCACAAATTACTGGGACATTAGCATTCATCCTGCAGTGGCTGTCACCAATGTTGATTAACTTAACCAAACTGGCCTTGTAAAAAGGAACCTGAATACTATGCCTAATCTGAAAACAGTTTCTGCCTCAACACTACCAGCACACTCATATGCCATGTACAGTTCTTTTCTATATAACCAACTTCAATATAATGAAATGCATGGTACAATGAGCCTATAACAACAACTTCATGTCCATAGAAAAGCATGATAGTTTCAATGTCTATGCATGAAAGCACCCTAGCACATTGTATTGTGCACTCCACAATTGGTGTAGTTTTGTATACCACTCAGCCCATGACTTGTGCCAGCACCAATTTAGCATCTTCTGTTGTCGCCCAATGTCATGTGACAAGCCCAAGTAGCCTTGAAGGTAATCATACCAAACACAACACCTGATGGTGAGCATGCAAGAAACCAATGTCACTCACAAGGCAAGTGATCTTGTTCAGTGAGTAGAAAAGATGTCACAGCTGGTTGCTGTAAACTGCTCTCCATAATCTCAAAACTGAAAGAACCTATTATAGCAGGACCCATCGCCAGCAAGCAAAAGTATTTCCCAGAGAAAGAAGTGGCCAACCAGTAATATTAGAGCTGCTCGCACATACCTACCAAATTGTGTGACTTTTCTATGGCAATAAAGTTCACCTAAAGATTTCTGTTGAATAAACGCACAATGGCGATCGCCAAACAGAAAATGTGGCACCATGAGCAGAGTAACTCAGGCCTGTCACTATTTAGGCCCATGTTCTCTCTTCATTTTGCACATCGATCAGAGTGGGCAGAGAGCAGTGTGGTGAACACAGCATTTGCAATAACTGGCCAGCGGTCGTTAAGCGAGAATCTAATGGCGGTGGCAGATTGGGCAAAATTAACTTTTATTTTACTTCAGAATTACCTATGATTAAGATGATTTCACCGGCACGGCATTTAAGGGCCCCTAAACCACCCAGAAGTTGACATGTAGTCATGATAGGGATCTTGTGCCTGAGTCTATACTACAAACACATAGCCGAGAGATTTTTTTCTAAATGGTGCCGTAATAGCAGAGTTAGATGCGTTTGATGATAGAAGCGTAACAATTGCTCCTTTCACTTTTTCCTTCACTACCCTCTTCTGGTCTAATGGCATACGTCATTGCTGATGTATTGTTCAAAACACTATTTACTTCCGGTAGCTATGACTGTCAACTCCCTACTTGTAGGATAACCACTGTTGCCGTGCCGGCCTGTGCACCTATGAATCGTGCGGGTATGGATCCTGTGATGTGGGCATGCCTTCAAAGGATTGTCAACAAGATGGATGACACAATGCACCAGAGCACCTCCACGTGAGATGAGAACAAGAAGCGCAGGCAGCTGCTTGCAGACTCACCAGGTTTTTGTTCGAGCATGACTTGCGCTGCACATCATAAATTCAACTTCATGATGTCACACACGTTACTACAAAGGTCCCAAGAGGAAAAGGGCCACAAATTCTTAAATTCTACAAGCCACAAATTCTTAAAATTTGTGGCTTGTAGCGCTACCAAGTGTGGCATCATTGATTGTGACAGCCTTTTTTCTATGATGCGCTTTTACTTGAAATATCTGAGAAAATATCGCAGGTGGTTTAGTAGCTCTTTAAGCTTCAGTCAATGAATCAGAGTTTGATCAAAATTTATCTTTTTTTTTACATTATTAGGATGAGCTGATTTTTTCGCTCTGCTGTTTGAACACTTTTGTGGCATCTTCTGTGTAGAAAGCAGTTTTTCAGCAACAATATACTTTGTAGATGCGAAATCTTGCAAGGCGAACCATGAGAGAACCACAAGTTTGTAATACAAAACCTCAACAAAGTCCATAATTAGTATTAAAGGTCACACTTAAATACAATAAAACCTTTATCTGGATATAAATTGGGCATTGCATATTAAATTATGGGCTAACAAATCAAAACATTCAGATAAGCAGGCAGACTCACAGGATATGGGTTGACACTGTCAGTGGGTGTCCTTGTCAAGCTGAAGCCCACCTGCAGAACACCATATAAGACGCAGTTACTGTGCACTGTTCATCTTTTGACGTATTTCAAAAAATAAATTGAATGCACATGAACACAAGCAAAAATAAAATGCATGCACATGAATGGGTGAGTGTGCACAGACAATGGGAAATATATAGAAGAGAAAAAAACAAAGCTCTTGTCAGGGAGAGTAGAAGCACGCGTTCTGGAGCAGTAAAATGACAGTTTAGAAGCAGTAACAAATTTGAGTTTTGTACTAGCAGTTGCTAGCCCAAGAAATTCAAATTATGACTTTTCCTTGTAACAAGTACAAATGCTCAGAGAGAACACTGCTCGTGCACAGATGAAGCTTCTGTGGAACGTCTTCTTATCAGGCACCTTTAAAGGGACACTAAAGCAACTGTGAAGAGGTTTATTAGCCAATAATGACAGCGACGAGACAGTGTGAAGAACCGTCCAGCGATCGACACAGCAACGAACCGAAGCACGAGTCGAGAGAGCCGGGCGTTGGCGATGCTGCTCGCTGCAGGCACATCTTCTTCACAATCGCCCCTGCTGAAAAAGGAGCCATCCTGGCGACCTAAGAAGTTTCAAAGACAGGCTCATGATACGGTTTTAGGCGGGAAACATGGACGATGTCACGTGCACGCCGGAGCATATTATCCGATCGGGTAACTGGCTCAATTAGGTAATTAACCGGAGAGGTTTTCTCTAAAACAGTGTAAGGCCCCTCGTACCGGGGGACAAGTTTTGATGAGAGTTCCGGGGTTTGGTATGGCATGGCAAGCCACACGAGAGACCCTGGGGCATAGCTGGGATCCGGAAGAGAGGTGCTACGGTTTTCTTTCTGGCGTTGTTGCTCTTCCGAGGTGAACGCACGGGCGAGCTGGCGGCACTCTTCGGCTTGTCGAGCAGCATTGGAAATAGGTGGACATTCGGAGGCATCAGGACAGTAGGAAAGTAGAGTATAAATTGTATGGGAAGGGTCACGTCCATAATGAAGAAAGAAAGGTGAGAATCCCGTGGTGGTTTGTATTGCAGTATTATATGCGAACGTGACGTATGGGAGAACACGGTCCCAGTTGCTATGATTAGATGCCACGTACATTGAGACCATATCAACCAGCGTGCAGTTAAACCGTTCCGTTAGCCCATTAGTCTGTGGGTGGTATGCTGTCGTTTTCCGATGAATGACGTGGCATTCCGAAAGCAGAGCTTCGACGACCTCGGAGAGGAAAGCGCGGCCTCTGTCACTAAGGAGCTCTCGAGGTGCGCCATGTCGAAGGATAAAGCGACGTAAAATAAAAAAGGCGACATCCTGAGCGGTAGCGCTCGGTAAAGCGGCTGTTTCGGCGTAGCATGTTAGACGGTCGACCGCTACTATAATCCACCAATTGCCATCTGGTGTCAATGGAAGGGAGCCGTAGAGGTCAACGCCAACGCGATCAAATGGCTTGGTAGGGCACGGAAGTGGCTGCAATTCGCCAGTCGCACGTAGTGGTGTTGATTTGCGTCGCTGGCAGTCAGGACAGCACTGTACTAACTTGCGTACAAAATTGTACATGCCGCGCCAGTAATAGCGATGGCGAAGGCGTTCATATGTTTTGAACACCCTGGCGTGGCCACATTGTGGGTCGTCGTGAAGAGAGGCGCATACCTGCAATAGTAAAGTGCTTGGAATGACCAGTAGCCACCGGTGGCCATCAGGAGCGTAGTTGCGTCGATGAAGAAGTTGATCGCGGATGGCAAAATGGAAAGCTTGACGTCGGAGAGATCGAGATACCGGAAGGTTGGGCGTACCGGATAGATATTCGAGAAGAGATGCGATCCACAGGTCACGACGTTGTTCAGTGGCAATTGAGTCAAGATTTAACGATGACAAGGTCTGGAGGCACGTGTTTCCGCACGTCGGATCTGGTGGCAAAGGTGAGCGGGACAGGGCGTCAGCGTCAGGGTGTTTGCGTCCGCAGCGGTATACGACGCAAATGTCGTACTCCTGGATGCGGAGTGCCCATCGGGCAAGGCAGCCAGAAGGGTCTTTCAGCGTGGAGAGCCAGCAAAGCGCGTGGTGATCAGTTACTAGATCGAACGGGCGGCCGTGTAAGTACGGCCGGAACTTTCGAAGAGCCCACACCAGAGCCAAACACTTTTTTTCTGTCACGCTGTAATTAGTTTCGGCTTTCATCAGAGTGCGGCTAGCGTAGGCTACAACGTATTCTGAATAGCCGGGCTTTCTTTGAGCGAGGACAGCGCCTAGCCCGACGCCGCTGGCATCGGTGTGCACTTCGGTAGGAGCCGTCGGGTCGAAGTAGCAAAGAATAGGTGGGGAGGTGAGCAGACGGTGCAGAGTAGTGAAGGCAAGGTCACATGCAGGGGACCAGGAGGAGAGATTCACGTCACCGCGAAGAAGCTGGGTTAATGGTGACATGATGGATGCGAAATTGCGAACAAAGCGCCGGAAATAAGAGCATAGGCCTACAAAACTGCGAAGTTCCTTCATGGTCGTCGGCTTGGGAAATTCTGCGACTGCTCGAAGTTTTGCTGGGTCAGGTAATACGCCGTGCTTCAACACGATGCGGCCTAGGATGACGAGCTCGCGTGCAGCAAAGCAGCATTTTTTCAGGTTAAGCTGCAGGCCAGCGTTGGTCAGACAAGTCAAAACGTGCCTGAGGCGAAGGAGGTGCATAGAAAAGTCGTGCAAGAAAAACACGACATCGTCGAGGTAGCAGAGGCACATATTCCACTTGAGGCCACGTAGCGTATTATCCATAAGTCGTTCAAATGTGGCGGGCGCGTTACAAAGCCCAAAGGGCATGACGTTAAACTCGTATGTCCGTCAGGTGTAACAAATGCAGTTTTTTGGCGATCGGCTTCAGCCATTGGAACTTGCCAGTAGCCAGACGGCAAATCTAGCGACGAGAAGAATTCTGCTCCGTGAAGGGTGTCAATGGCGTCATCAATGCGCGGCAAAGGATAGACGTCCTTGCGGGTTATCTTATTCAAACGACGATAGTCCACGCAAAGTCAGGTAGATCCGTCTTTCTTACGCAGCAGGACGACAGGAGACGCCCAGGGACTGTGAGATGGTCGAATGACGTCTCTACGAAGCATACCTTCGACTTGATCGTTGATGACGCGGCACTCTTCTGTGGAGACACGTTATGGTCTTTGATGCAGTGGCTGGTGTAGACCGGTGTCAACATGACGCTTGACTTGCGACGTACGGCCTAGTTGAGGTTGCGACACATCGAAAGAATTCCGGAACTCATGCAGAAAATCAAGCAGGTCGGCATGTTTGGTGGGAGTGAGAGTGTCGGCGATGGCGCTGGAAAACGTATCATTGGGCGACTCCCCGAGTGCCGACAGTGCTTTTGGGTGGTCGCAGTAGTCATCCGGGACATCAACCAAAGACGAAGGGTCGAGATCCTGCACGCGGCCGAGACATTCCCCCGCAAGCAAAGTGACAGGTGTGGAAAGCGGGTTGAGTATGAACATATTGCTTCTTCCGGCGGCAAGGACAATCGTTGCGAAAGGCAGCGGCAGAGCTCGACGACTCGTGAAGATATCGGAAGGCATAAAAAAAGACTGTAGCGTCAGTATAGGCGTTGCATGAAATTGAAACAAGTGCGAAATTTTCAGGTGGAATATCGGTATCTTCATGCACGAAGAACTTCGGCGGCTGATGAAGAGCGTCAAGTAATGGGACATCACAAAAGGGTGAAAACTCAACTTCAGCGCGTGCGCAGTCGATGACGGCATTATGGTGGGATAGGAAGTCCCATCCGAGGATGACGTCATGCGAACAGACAGCGAGGACAATAAACTCCACAATATAAACAATGCCTTCGATGGACACTCTTGCAGTGCAGGCTGCGAGAGGCGTTACTTGCTATGCACTTGCGGTGTGGAGTGACAGTCCCGAAAGCGGCGTCATGACTTTACGTAATACATGGCAGACATTAGCGGCAATAACAGAGCAGCGCCGGTATCCACAAGGGCAAAACTACAATAACCTTCAAAAGTTACTGCAACCACCTTAGAAAGAGAGGGGCGAGGGCTTAGACAGTTCGAAAACGGCGCAGTTCTTGCCTCTTGAACTGTGGTGCTCAGTTTTCCTGGTCAGAAGGTCTGGGCCGGCCACGCATGGGGGAGGGCGATCGCCGACAAGGAGAAGGTGCGCGCGGCGTCACGAAGTCGGGGTCGTTGGGAGGGGCATAGCGAGGTGACGAGACCGGCCCGTATTACGCGAAGGATTGGCGGCCGGGTTGTGACGATCGGAGATAGTCGCCGAACATCTGAGGTCGACGGCGGCAGTAGCGGGCAACGTGTCTGGGAGTGAAGCAGGCGTAGCATATCGGTCGGTTATCGGGCGTCCTCCAAGGATTGGCGACTGGTGGTGCTGCCCAAAATGCAGTATAAGCAGCCGGGTGAGCGGGCTGTGAGCGCGAGGTGTAGGGTGGTTGCGGAAGCCTACGCACAGCGTCTGCATATGTGAACGGCGCTACTACAGGCTGCATCTCTTGCGAACAGGCGACAGGAGGAGCCACAGGCTGCGCTGCATACGTTAGGGGTGCAGCCACAGGCTGCACGGCTGGCGGATAGGCAACAGGAGGGCCTACCGGCTGCGCGACACGCTGGCAGTGAACACGGCTGGATAGAGGCGGCTCGTGGTGCGCAAGAGGAACAGTCGACAAAGGTCGACGACGTCCTCAATATAGCTGGTAAAGGTCTCGCCAGTCTGCTGAGAGCGGACGCGCAAGCGCTGTTCTGCCCGCTGCTTGCGGACAGCCGGCCGACCAAACACTTCAGCACATGATATCTTGAAGATGCTCCATGTGGGGATGTTGTGTTTGTGGTTGTTAAACCACAATTCAGCGACGCCAGTGAGATAAAATATGACGTGGCCCAGCTTATCGGCTTCATCCCACTTATTGTTGGCGCTCACCAGTTTGAATGCTCGAGCCAGTCTTCGACGTCGGTCCCATCCGCACCGCTGAAGACCTTTGGGT